AAGAATTATAGAATGAAAAATCTCCACAGCAACAATCCGGGTCCTCATTTTACCACCTCGGAAGGATGGAAGGTTGAGTCACCCCTGAGCCGGTGAGATTTGAACAGCCGAACTGCAGAACTGCAGTCAGCTGAAGTAGCCTGCAGTGCTGCATTTAACCACTGCGCCACCTCGGCTCTATATATGTGACAGTTTAACAAATACATTATGATGTGAAGTGTAAATGATCTAATTTTCATATTGATGCTGAGCTTCAGGATGCAGTTAAAACTGACTGTCCACAGTTATTACTGTAAATAGTTTGAATTCAAATGGACATATGATTTCATTTAATTAACTTTATTGAACATAGTATGGCACTACTATCTTTGCTATTCTTTTGCAAACTTCATAAATGTTGTAAGCTACCCGGTTCGACAGTGAGTGGCATATAAATTAACTAAATAGATAAAATAAAAGAATAAATAAATAGATAGATATCACTGAGGTAAATCCTAGATATATCCTGCTATTAGAATTACAATATATGTTTATAGTCTTGCTACAACACTTAGGTTTCAGAAATGATGTTATGCCCAAACAATAGAATGTCAGTGTCAGATATGTGTGCATGGAAGCAAAGAGAAAATGATACATACAGATAAACAAATCTTGCCAGTATATTATGCAATACCTCAAAAACCTTTTAAACGGCCATGGGCCTCTGTAGGCCTTACTCTTGATTTTCTTGTGAATATTGCTTATAAATATTATGATATCCAGTCCAGGTAATATTAGTTATGACTAATGTTGCTATGTTTGCTAAAGCAACTTTGAAGTTACTCACCAATGTGCTAAGAACTATGGCTTAGGTTCCCCTATTAGTTGACTAATTACAAAAGACTGGAATTATTGGCTTGGATCTAAAATCTCAAACCCCAAATGGTGCAGTTGGATAGAATAAGATCCTGTGAATCCAGTCCAATGTTCACAAGAAATTAACAATTTTGATCAGAAAAAAATCAGTTGCTATTTATCACTAATGGCACACTACTGGTGCCACTTCATAAGTTTGTATGAGTTCCTTTAGTTTCAGTGTGGCTTATATGTGACAATTAAACAAGAATGCTTAAATAAAATAAATCCAGTTTTATGTAGTAGCTTGAAGAGGTGGAAATCAGGCTTTAAATTTAATATGGCTAAATGAATCTGGTCCTTTCACAATCTCTTAGTTTAACCCTCTAAGGATAAAGAGAGTAGAAATTCATGTATGCTGAATTATGCTCTTGGAGGAAGAATGGGATAGAAATATAATTTTTAAAATTACATTACATGAATGGCTTATTTAGAGAATCCCTCTTCCAGGGTCATCCTTGTGTTCTATAAGGCAGGGAAAAAAAACATATCCAAAGAACAGTAACAAATCCCATAAAACAGACAGGGAAAGTATGCTAGTTCTCTTCATTGGTTAAAACTGATTAAAATAGTCAATTTTTAAAACTAAATCAAAATGACTAGGTTCAAAGTAACATCTTGCTCAATTTTAAGTTAATTGGGTGAACCATACTGATGAATATTTATACCAGATGAAAAAGCAGATGAGTTCTCTTATTACCTGTCTCGTCTTGCATTTAAAACTGATGACTGTCCATTCACTATGGACTGATGAATTATTGGTGGCGATGCTTTGGAAGTGGTAGAGGAGGTAGTAGAAGAAGAATTGTTAGTAGTGAGGTCTAGCCCTCCATGCTTAATGCCATTGTCTTCCATACTGTGAACTCCAGTAACTTCTTTCCATAACTGCTGAATCTCAGCAGGACTTAAGCCAGCTATAAAATGAAAGAGAGCTCCAATAATATAGGAAAGTAAGAGGTTCATATAATGAACTCAGTATTGTTAATGGATTAATGCTAACAATAAAGATGATATAGTTTCCCAATATATCAACATGTAGTCAAATACAATTTCATTTTGTTAAATTCCAATTAAAGTCAATTAAAGGTCATCCAGCTACATAATATAATATCTCTTGAAAAAATTGTTCAAGGATCAATAGGAGGAAGCTACAACCAACAACAGCAACTACTATTTGAAAAGCAGGTATTAAAACAAATATTTAGATGAGATTTTACATAGCCTTTGGCAAAGATCCCAACTGTCTTTCCAAAAATAAAAATAAAAAAGTGGCTTTAAAATACAATTTCTATTATTCACAAGCTCACTTCAAAAAATAAAATAAAACACAAGGAAAGAAATTAAAGATTTTCATAAGATTAAGGACAGGGTTTCAGCTAATATGTTGGTACATGAATTAAATTTGTATTTAATTTTAAATTTAAAAAATCATTTCTAAAACGAAATTGTTTTAATAGAAGAACAATACTTTAATGATCACTGCTCCAAGTGTGCCACTTTAGCAGGGAAGAAATGAGAGATAAATAGCAGAGTTTCACGAATTAGCACAAAATCATCAAAATAAACAGTATTACTTTGACCAAATACATAACACATTTCTGATCATTTGGTGGTTTTTTTTTGCCAGATGCAAACACAAACACTGGAGATCTTTAATATCTGAAGCAAATATATACATTCTATCCCCTCATTTACTATTAACAATGTTTTCAAGAATGCAGTATTTCATTTCAATTATTCAAATGGACATCATTAATTTTATAAGCAAGACTAATATTTTATAAGCAACTACATGTCAATAATGTTAAATAAATTGAATATTACTTTTAGAAAAAAGAAACATTTTAGTGCGGGCTTGCCTATTTTTATCAGAAATTTGTTACATAAAATGGAGATTGTCACCATAAGCATCTGCAGATAAGGCAATGAAGACCGAGAAAATTAGCCTCACAAGTATAACAATGCAAAATCTAGCATTTATATATTTTGGTATGATGCCACAACAAAAGTATAAAAAGACGAAGCTTGCATTGTGAAATCACAATTCAGTTTTCATCATTGGCCTTCAATATGGTTAAGAACAGATGTCTTTGGTTACTACGAAGTATTCTAGCTCCTCTCCTACCCCTAAGCCAATATAACAAAACAGCTTAATCAGAGTGAAAAAGTGTTGAGGCTATAACGAAGCAGATAACCCCTTAAATATTATTGATTAGAGCTTTTTAGGATGTCTTTCCCCAAACAACAATTATTGGCTAATTGGGTGTCAGGTCATAATTGTCAGCATACCACCAATAAATATGAACTTAAGAAGCTAAGTAAATTAATTGTGTACTGGATTGAAATATGTAATAGCAATAGCACTTAGACTTCACAATGCTTTTACAGCCCTCTCTAAGTGGTTTACAGAGTCAGCATATTGACCCCAACAATCTGGGTCCTCATTTTATCGACCTTGGAAGGATGGAAGGCTGAATCAACCTTGAGCCTGGTGAAATTTGATCTGCTAAACTGCAGTCAGCTGGCAGCCAGCAGAAGCAGAGGTGGGTTGCTGCCGGTTTGCCCTGGATTGGGCAAACCGGTAGTGGTGGTGGCGGGAGGCTGCACACTTCTGTGCAGAAGTGTTGCGCAAGCACATGCACACACACAAACTGGTAAAATAAATTGCAATCCACCACTGAGCAGAAGTAGCCTGCAGTATTGCATTCTAACCACCGTGCCATTGTGGCTCATAATCACACTTAGTTGGAACTATAAGAGAACATTAAGGATATTAATGAATAACTATTGTGACACATCTATTGCATCTGGGAAAGATTTTAGCCTCTCATATCAACTGATTTAATACAAATGTTGTTTGCTTTCTGAAGATAAGTCAACAAGCACTCTCCACTAAATACTAATTAATCAATTCCTATACTGAAACAAAGGGATGTCAGTTTTACTAGGTTTCACATTTACCTTATTTGCTTACTGGTGCACTGAAGTAACCCATTTTAGTTGTGGATTACCTGACTCAGAGAAATAGAGCTGCCATTCACTAATGTATTGATAATATATCATTCTAATCCCAAACAGCCATTCCCAGAAGTTTCATATAGACAATAAAGAGCATTTGGAACAAACTTCTTGGCAACTCCTCATAGATGCAATCTTCCAATATCAACTCTCTGAAACCAACCTTGAAAATAGAAATGTAACAAGTGCAACAAATTCTAGAGAAATTGATCCAAACAACCAATTTCTTTGCTGCTGACAAATGAAATAGAAAGACTATTGCCCTACCCCTAGTCTGTCTTTTGCCAAAAGTCCTCCATTACACTGAACAAGAATACTTGCTCTCTCAAAATCAAATCTGTTCCCAAATTAGAAAGGATACAGATGACCAATGTCCACCCAAAACACTGAAAACTACAACTGTATACCAAGTACGATTAGGATGTAACTGACTGATCAAAGTGTATGGATTAGGCACCATCTGATGCAGCATAATTATAATCTGATGATGGGCCTTAAATCCTGACAGAAAGGATAAGAGCCATGTTGGTGTATTGTAAGGGCTAATGACCTCCTTAATGAGCCCATAAGTAAAGAAGTTTTCAATAATAGATTTCAAGTCCTGCAAAGCTTCAACATTAATAGGGGTGTTAATGTTACACAGAAAGAGACTGTGCATTGCAAAAGAGATATTTCAACAGGAGATGCATTATTAGCCCATCCAGCTGACAGTTGAGTACTGAGCAGGATGCCCCAGTGTCAGTAAAAAATGGCACAGATCTCCTCTGACTTGGATTTTTACTAGGGTCCAAATGGGGGGGGGGGATTTTTCACACCGCTTCTTTCTTTCTCTGAAGGCATGCAACAAAGCCCCCCCTTTTGTTCTCTGCTGCCCGAATGAGTGAAGTAGGGAGATAGAGAATGAAAGGAGGTCGCGTAGCCAAGGCAAAGGAGCCTGCAGCTTCCTTCACATGTTCGGGCAGCGGGGTGGGGGCTTTCTTGCATGCCTTTGGAGAAAGAAAGAAGACATGAGAGAAAGCCCCCCTGCATCTCAGAGGCAGGGCGATTGGTGAGCCATCCAATCAGTGAGCGGCGGGCGGGGAAAGCATGGTGCGGACGGGCGGGGCGAGTGAGAGAGCAGCAACCAGACAGGTGTGGGGAACCAGCAAGGGGGGCAGTGGGAGGGAGTGTTTTGGTACTGTGCCACCGGACGAACGGGTTCCAAAAGGTACGCTAAATTTCACAAACAGGTTCTAGCGTACCGGTGCAAACCAGCTGAAACCCACCCCTGACTCTCATCCTTACTGTTGGCCCTTATATATATATGTATAACAGCTACTTTGCTAGGAAGCAAAACAGCATCCAATAAAAATGGATGTTTATTGCCCCATATTTAATGGGATTTCCTTGCACAGTTAATAACCCATCCTCTTTTCATAAGGTGCCAAGGGCCTCCAAAAGCAAATTTAGCATCAATATAAATTGACAACTGCACCTTTCACCAACTCTAAGGCTCTAGCAAGGTGATAAGTTCAGCTTTCTTAGCTGAAGCTCCAATTGGGAGAATCAGCTCATTGTTCTCCCTGACATATAAAGCTACTGCCATCTGTATACAGATCCCTGTCTGCATCCTTGAGGTCAATCAAATCTGGGTACCCAGAAAACACCTCAGAAATGGTTTGAACACAATCATGTGCAATATCTTGTTCCAGTGGAGAAGAAAGGTGGCCAAGTTAAATTGGGTGCTCTGTTTTAACTGAATGTGAGGATTATCTAGAAGAGTAATTTGATATTTTTCCAAGGCACTTGCCTTTAGCCAAAGATCTTCCTTTAATTCAAGCAATTCTCTTATGGAATGGTGGGTTTCAATAATGATGGTGGCACAAAAGGTTAATTGTTTAGCAGCATTTCAACATTTAGACCAATAATCAGAATTATTAGAATCAATACAATATAATCCCCCTTCATACTTCAAGCACTGCGCAGAAGAATGATCAATGATGGTAGGATAAAAAGTGACATCATATGAGCATTGTTTCTTAGGGCAATGCTCTGACATGGAGATGGGCAAACAATGTATACTACAACAAAAGAAGAGTATTAGAAAGATAATAAAAAGCAAAAGCAGAAAAAAATTATTCAAGCCAGGAGTGAATACTTTCTTGGAATGCATAAAGACGTTTTTCTTATTTGTAGACCCAGGAAGAGCAATTCCAGGAAGACAGAAGGTTTTCATCTCTTTTGCTTGGGAGATATCAAGTAATTTATCTTGATTTTCTGAAGCTCAGTTTGAGAAACTGAGCTTCCTTCACATCCTAGTAACTAATTTAATTATTGTATATCTGGGGGAGCCACTCATTTTAAACACAAGAACAATATTAAACTTCTATTTTAAAAATGATAATTGAATATTCATATAAGAATCTTCACATGAGATCAATTTGTGCATTTATACTATAAGAAAAGAAAAAAATCATTGAAATCATAATACGATTCTTCACTGAATTCTCTGTAACATCCACAATCCAAATATTTCTCATTCATGGATATTTCAAGCTTAGTTATTCAAACACTGCTACTGAGATAAAATATTTAACCTAAAGCTAAACATGAGAGGAGGATCAACATTTTCTTCATTCTTGAATTGCTGAACTGAGGAAAACCCTACCTGGAATACAAAATACGTGGATGTGTTATCTATCTTTTAAATTGGTATGTTTTGATTTCACCTTGAAGAATGAGTTGCTACTAATAGGGATGAAATCATTCAGTAGCTACCCATTCCAATTTTTCGGTTAGAGAATGTACTGTATGTTTTCCTGTATGTTTTCCTTATAATAACAACAGGTGAGTACTTGCAATTTCCATTACTTTAAACCACACTCAATGGAGCAATGCAACCATTTCATTTTGGGCTTTTTAATTTGCTTTTTGGGGTTTTTTTTCTTTAAAAGGTACACAAATGTAAGCCAAAATTAAAAATAACCAAACCCTTTCCACTGAATCGTATATTTTTTAACCTGGACCAAAATGTACGATTTCTCCCCTACTTATACTTGGAAGGATTTGATCCCATTATAAATTTGAATTTATGGATAAATTCATATGACTTTCACATGCACTGACTTTATTACCAAATGATGAACATTTGTGATTAATAAAAATTATTCAATTAATCAAGAATATTATCAGAATTTTAAACATTTGCAGATATCTTATTTAATAACGCTAAGGTTCTGAACCATGTCTGACTATAAGCTTCATTTTAAGCTAAGTATGAAAGTACATTACATTTATGCCCTTTAGGACAAAGATGTACGATATGCACACATCTCTCAAAAAACAGTCCTCTTTATTGAATTGTAATTTTTCATGGGAAAATTATGGAATTTGTGGAGTGTAATAAGTTGCTATTGTTTCCCCATGGATATGCAAATCTACTGAACTATAGTCATTTTTAATTCTTATATTATCAAACAACAGGAATGATTTGTTAATCCATTCTGTAGTTGATTCCAGATTCCAATCTAATCTGGCAAACATTCTGAGATGAAAATTATAGCAAAAGTAGAATATACCTGTTATTAAAAAGACTGCATCTATATCATCTCCATACAAAAAAAGTGCAGTTGGGAAGGAGAAATACTATATTAGCCATAACTCAATGGTAAAAAATAAAAGTATATTACAACCCAAAGATGTAGCACTCTCCTTTCATAAATGTAATTTGTTAATGGCAAAAAAAATTCAAAAGTATACATACACACACATATATACACATATACACTTATACTTACAACTCGATGATACTAACATGTGCTATGTTTGGATAGATTCACACATCCTTGCCCTAAAATATCTAAGCAATGGCACTGCCGTCATTAATATAATATATCAAAATGTTTTGGCAATTCAATCTTAATATCGGGTATTCCCTCTCATCCCCTTTGTTTTTAATTAAATGGAACACAAATTGCAATAGTTTTCAGTTCGTAAAGATGAAAGCATTCTTCTATAAAAGCTACACATTTGAAAATATCAAACACTACTCATATAAACAGCCTCCTGAATAAAATAAATTAATTTGAAATATTTGAATAATCAAACTAAGTAAAGATCTGAAATACCAAGTTGGAGATCATGATGAAGCTATAATCAGAAGAAGCCGTGATCTAGAAATCAGTCATATCATACCTTGTGGCAACGATTGGACAGGAAGGGCGGGCTGGCCAGGAGGAATGGAAATGAGTCCCTGACGTTGAAGATTCAGCAGATGTTGCTGCTGTTGAAGTTGTTGCATTTGGAGGAGCTGCTGCTGGAAGACAAGCTGCTGGGCTGCCAACTGCTGTTGCTGCTGCTGCTGCTGCTGCTGCTGCACAACAGGACAAAATGTAACGGAAAAGTGAAAAAGGCAAGATTCAATCAACAGCTCTGGTTTATTTCAGTGATTAAATAGCAATAGCTATTGTGTTGTAGAAACCGGTCTTGTTTCTTAAAAAAGAAAGCTTGCTTTACAAATAATCAGATTTTAGTGGAAAAGGCAATCTACTTTTAGGATTCATTTTTAGCAAAGAGTCAGAAGAAAGAAGATAACCACTTTTTCAACTTAAAGAACTTCATGACATCTAAGTACAAATTTATCTTGGCTGAAGGTGTAATTTTTTATCTCAAACTTTAATTCAAAAGCAGTCTTATTTTTCTAGCTGAGTAACTATGATCTGCAGTGGCCCATAAAGGAAATCTCCAGTGATCTATTAGTAAACTGGGATGTAGCCTTCATTTTACTAGCCTGTTAGCGCCTTTGCTGCACTTGTTGGAATACATTAGGTACCTAGCATTATATTCACGGTAAAGAAGCATCCTATTATAAAGGAAAGTGCTAACTTCCAATTTTGTGAGGCGTTACAAGACAAGCCAGAGTTCTTTAAGCTCAAGAGGATATAAGGATGTAGTCACACTTCAGAGAAAGACAAGCTGCTGTGGAAGACCTTTCTTTCTTTTTAAATTTTGGACGAGAAGAAAAACTTCTGATCCACTCACTGGAAAACAGGCTGCATAATGGAGCAAGTCGTGTGGATTGCTCAGAGCCTCAGGAGAAATAAGGGAGCAATTTCTATTCTGTATTTGATAGCTGTCTGAAATTCTATTTACAAATCCAAACAGAAACAATGCCTTGGGAGGTCAGAAATGGATCGTGCATGTTTGTATAATGGGCAGCTACAAGAAAATGTCTAGGATACCTGCTGATCAATTTAACTACTTGAACATGTTTTGTTTGTATTATGTTTATAGCTGATGCAGTCAGCTGACAGGTGCAAGATAGGCCTGAGATACTGGCTTGTCAAGTTGATTTATGAGCACATCAAACTGCAACTTTCTACTCACCATTCCAAATGTACAGTAACAGTTCATTAATCAGGGTCTATGACTTCAAAATCTATGCCCAATTTTTTTTTATAACTTTCTACTAGCCATTATTATCCAATCTGTTTCTGAACTAGGGATCTTACAAAGAAAAGATAAGTATCGGTTCAAGCTTCCTTACATATATCAGTCAATGAGTACTTTGTTCACCACTTTATGAGAACTGAAAGACAATAGAACTGGATGGCAAATTCAGCCTCCATAACTGCAAACAAAAGAAGTTATAGCATTCTATTTCAATTCTTATTGGTTTCAGTGAATGTATTTAAACACTGACCTTCAGGATGAAAGGGCTAAGAACTATAGCATTCTCATAGAAAGATTTAAAATGAACTATTAAAATCATATCTTTTATTATATGTCAGTTCTTTAAAGTTTAAAATGCTGAAATATAAAATTACATAGATTCCATCATTTTATTGAATGAATATTCAGAGTACTCAATGTAAATGTTATGCCCAATATAAAAATCATTCTGTATAACCTCCAGTCTGTGTAATCCAACTGTTTATTGGAACATATTTATTCTATCTATCTAGCAATCTGTCTGATCATCTTACCAATTCTATGGGCCATTTCACGAAGTCAGTTTTGTCTTCTTGCAATGTTCCCCAAGGACATTTTTGCACAGAGAATGCCTTGTATGAACCAGAATCTCCATGGATACAGCTGTCACTTCCTGGTGGTGATTTCTGCAATCACAGCACAGAGCATTTTTCCCAACCTCTTCAATTATGGAATCATCCTTAAGAAGGAAAATCTGTATCTACAGATATCTTTGTTCACTCAAGATATTCTCTATATGAATATATCCTAAGGGGGCATTATTTATACATAACATTGTCTGCATGAGCTATCTTGGAATTATTTCAATAACACTAGCTTCTTATAAAGATGACCTTTGAAAAAACAAACACCAAACAAAAATCAACATAATCAGAATGACTTATTCTTTTCCTTCCCAGCTGCCCTACTTGCAAAAATAATGTATTGATTAGTTATTTAGGTTCTACCTCTTTTGCTTGTTTTCCTGGGTGCTGCTGCTGCTGCTGCTGTTGCTGTTGTTGCTGTTGTTGCTGCTGCTGCTGCTGTTGTTGTTGCTGCTGCTGCTGCTGTTGTTGTTGTTGCTGCTGCTGCAAAAGCTGAAGATGTAACTGCTCTTGCTGTTTCTTGTAAAACTCTTGAAGTTGTTGCTGAATAAATCATTTTAACTTTAATAAATAAAGGTAAAGTTTCACATATTATGCATCTCCTAAACTCTTCTAGATTGGCATGCGGCAAAGTAGTCACTGAGCTATACTATAAAACAAATTTAGAATCTGAAGATGCAAATCTATATAGACTTCTCTCCCCTCGAAGTCAATTCTGAAATATCCCAGTGCAGATTTCGAAGTATCCTTAACAAAGAGCATACGCCGATCCATATTCTAGAGCACAGGCAGAAAAGGCAAATTAGGCCTTCCTTCCTTCCTTCCTTCCTTCCTTCCTTCCTTCCTGCCTGCCTGCCTGCCTGCCTGCCTGCCTGCCTGCCTGCCCTCTCTAAACAGAATATCAACTTCCACATAAAATAAAAGTGGAGAGTTCAATAATCTGCCTATGCAGGATTACCAGCATGCCAGATGAATAGCAAAATGTTATTTCACTGTAATGTCTATGAAACCACATATCTTGTTAAATATTCTGAAAATATATTATTTTCATCATGATAATTAATTATATTCCTCTTAAGTTAAAAATGCTAATAGACGCTGTAATGATATATAACAATATTGTTCTTTGGTTTTCAATCAAAAATATCAGGGATTCTTTCTTTTCATTTCAGATTTACTCCTCTCATTCCAACTTCTATTTCCATTTGATTAAAAAAAAAGTTACGTTCCAATTTCCTAGACCCCTTCCAGTTATCTAAAGTAATCACTAACATCATATAATTTTAAAGGAACTGTGATCTTAAAGTCTATTTACATTATTTGTTCAACTGATCTCTCAAAAAGTACCTAAGTTCCTGAACATTTAAACATTGGTTTATTTCAGGGTTGTTGTGGGAATAATAGGAGGAGGAAGATGTATTAGGTACGTTTATCACCTTGAGATATTTATAAACAATAATAAAGATGGGATAAAAAATTAAAATTTCTACCACACTCCACCTGCCATTGTTGTTCCTAAATGAGATGTTAAAGTTGTATTCAAAGTTGAAAAACTGATTCCCTAGGTCCTTGAAAAATTTTAGGCTAGAGAATTTATCATAGACTTATATTATTCCTTTTTACAAGAGCAAACACATGACCTCTCACTAGCAAATAGGGTTGACTATATAATAAGCCGGAACTCTGCTAATTATCAAAAGAGTTATCCAACATTACCTGCTGCAACATAACTGCTTGCTGCTGTTGAAGAAGTGCTTGAAGCTGCTGAGGAGACAAAACTTGTTGTTGAAGAATCTGTTGCATTTGCTGAGGAGTGATCACTTGAGGAGTCATCATGGCCACTGACACAGGCACCTACAGGAGAAAGATTGGAGATATATTGTTTTCTTTCTTAACACCTGAATAGAATATTTAATAAACATTTTGCCATAAGTGCAAGCAATTTGTTCCATATAATTTTATGATACAATAACTTTTGTCCACAGATATATCATAACTTTTATTTTCTTTATTTTGAAGGCTAGAAGTGCCATAGATGTGTAGCCTGATACATACTGAGGCTATTTACTCACTCAGATGTCTAATTGAAAATAACCAAATATCAACCCTGAAGCTGACTTGACCAAAGCCATCTTGGAGCTTCAGTGTTGCCACACAGGAGCTGAGAGATAGGGGGGGGGGGATTAGAGATAGCTGGGATTTTGTAGCCAAAATAAAATACTTTCTCTTGGGAACCAAGAACATTCTTACACCTGGCCTGAGGAAGGAGGAGTGAGGTCACCAGGAAATCAAACAGCATCTTGATTGGACCATATGACTGATTGCTTGGGGTTGAGGGAAAACTTTTACTTTTAATTAGGAAACCGTGGGAACCTTCAGAGTCAGTTTTCATCAGATTCGTGTCAATATGATATATCCAATAAAGCTATTCTTTGAGGAATCCATCTTCCTCAGAGTTTTGCTTGCTATGGGTCTATTATTTGGAAACTTGACATTAAGGCCACCGTCCAGGCCTTCCGCACAGCCTTGAAGAACTGGCTAGCCCGTCAGGCCTGGGGACAAGGATAGTTGCCCCTCCTGAATGATGAATGTATNTCAGAGTCGGAACCCTGTCCAGGGTCCTCCACATCCTCCAGAGCCCACTCATTGGGGCCCCTCAATGTGTGGTGGCAGCTCCAACGGCTCCTGCTGGGCCACAACAACAAACTCTGTTTGAAGGACATACTGAACTTTCTTGGGTTGTTTTTTTTTTGAAGACGTTTCACTTCTCATTCAAGAAGCTTCTTCAGCTCTGACAGGATAGTGGGGAATGGAAGGATTTGCATTCCTTGCAGACAGCTAGTCATTTGCATTTTTAGTGAGTCGTTGAAGCCACTTGGAGGGAATCTGTGTCCTCAAGTGCAAATGTATGTGGAGCTTTTTTGCTGCAGGATGTTTTCTGCCCTTTAACTTTGAAGACAGGTGCAGGTTGTTCGGGATGAGTCTGTGTTTTCTGCATTTCAAACTGAAGCAGAAATGGTTCCTGTAGTCTGCAATTTTGAAGGGTGAAATCCTACACCCTTGCACCATTGGAATGGTGTTCATCCCAAAGTGCATAGTTAAATGTCTAAGGAGTTTCTCAGTCATTCGGGCCATGGTTGTCCAAAAGGTGCTTTTTCAGGAAGCAACTGAACATTGTTTTTCTTTGAAGATGTTTTGCTTCTTATCCAAGAAGCTTCTTCAGCTCTGAGTTTCACAGAGCCTGAACTTTGAAAAGATAATAAAAGATCACAGGTAATCCAGTCTTTATAGATAAAGATAACTGCACCAAAGCCCATCTTTTGTAAAACTTTAGATGATTGGCTACTGCCACATTTAACAGAATAACAGAATTGGAAGAGACCTTTGACGTCTTCTAATCCAACCCCCTGCTCAAGCAGGAAACTTTATACCATTTAAACAAATGGTTGTCCAGTCTCTTCTTAAAAACCTCCAGTATTTCTCCTTAGTTCTAGGTTGGTTCGCTTCTTGATTAGTTTCCATCCATTGCTTCTTGTCCTGCCTTCAGGTGGTTTGGAGAATAGATTATCCCCCTCTTCCCTGTGTCAGTCCCTTAAATATTGGAACATTGCTATCATGTCACCCCTCCTTTTTTTTATTAAACTAGACATACCCAATTCCTGCAACTGTTCTTCATATGTTTTATCCTCCAGTCCCAATAGCCTCCAATCTGATACATATGTGTGTCAGTATTCTTTTCTTATCTCCAGAACCTTCTGTGCATCATTATACAATTATTCAAACAGGTTCTTTTTGTTTTTAGGTTCACTGTTTTACAGCAAACCTATATTCCTTGTTAAAGCAGATTGTCCATCGAAAGCTAGAGAGTAGAAAGCTACTGAGTTGCTAAATGGAAATCACAAGAGACCTAGTTTTATCAGGAGTGACTAGTGGCATATGAAAATGTCCAACAAAGCAACACTGGGGATCTTATGGGAAGGTTTCGTTATCTTATTCTGGTAATTCCACTTCTGTATAGAATCATGATAATTTAAAGGGGAACTGCATTTGATTTTACATTCAAGCCACTGTAGCATATTATTTAGAGAACCAGCACGATGTGGTGGTTAAATTGTTGGGCTAGGACCAGGGAAACCTAGGCTCAAGTTTATATTTGGCCATGCACACTTACCAAGTGACTTTGGGTAAGACATTTTCTCTCAATCCAGCCCACCCTTCAAAAATGGGTTGCTGTGGTGATTAAATGGGATCCTATGTAATGCCCTTTGAGGTCCTAAAATAAATATTGAAGTATAATCTAACAAGTAAAAAACAAAATGCAATAAAGCAAAAGATTAAATTATTTATACCTAACCTTATATTTACTTATATTTCAGACTCTGTCTGTCTGTCTGTCTGTCTGTCTGTCTGTCTGTCTGTCTGTCTNCCCCCCCCCCTGATTTTATGTGAGCCGCCCTGAGTCCCCTCAGGGAAAAGGGCGGCCTACAAATGTTAATAAAATCTAAATCTAAAAAATTAAACCAACTCACCTAAATCCCAACCTCAAACCAGAGCCCTTATCTGGAGTCCTGAGCCCCAAGAACATTCGGCTGCTTACCTGGTCTACCCAGGCAGCAGGAAGACTCAGGGAAGATGGAAGAGAAAATCGGAGAGTTGGGTGCCTGTTGAGGAGCCGTAGAAAGCATGCCAACTCCCTTGGAGTTTCAGTGGGTAGAAGCTGTGGCAGAGGTTGTGCACCAGGTGGGTACCTGGCTTAACGTCCATACCGAATAGCCAGTCACTAAGGAACTCTACCAGGCAGAGGAAGTCATTGGCTGCCAGGCTACGCTCCAGTCATCAGTAGAAGAGTGCCAAATCACCTCAACAAAGGAGGCAAGAACGACGATCCTTGAGTGGAGGTTGATGGGCCCTCTCAACCTCAGTGAATCCCAAGATTGGAGGTACCAGACAGAGGCCCGCTGGAAAACACTGGAATTGCTGCCTGAGAGACTCAGCCAGCTGAGCCTCAGCAGCGTCCGGCACTTGAATCAAACCAAACAAGTGAGAGTGGTCTTGAACCTGCCGTCTTTGACATTTCCTCCCTTGAGGGAACCGATCTAATTTGGTTGTGACTCCTCCACAATCCCCATTGGCACTGCACAGCCCATGACTGAGTCTCCCCAGTTGGCACCAGTCAACTGCCACCACAATCTGTGTGGCCAGCCCACCGTTACCACCTTGACTCAGCCAAGCCCTGGACTGCAGCACAGCCTGCCTAGACATTGGAGACCAGCTAACCCACGAGACAACTTCAGCTGCCACCAGCAAGGCAGCTCCCACCTGATTGGGCTTACTACCTGCTACTTAAGGAGGTGGTAGACCCTTCCAGGCTCTGGGAGAAGATTGCCATGGACTTCATTGTAAAGCTCCCTGAAAGTGGGGAAAATATAGTCATTTGGACCATGATAGATTTATTCTCAATACAAGCCCATTTCACTGCTTGTCCAGGACTCCCGTCAGTAAAAAAAAGCTGAACAGGCTGTTTATAAAGCAGGTAGCATGGCATTCACAGCAGAATTATTCCAAGTCACCAGTGGCATGGAATTCATTCCCATGCCCAAGCTACCCAGTGAGCCCCCCTCATCTATGTCACTAAATGAATGGATGGAGTTCCTGAAGGAGGGATGAGAAACTACCAAGTGGGCTTTGCAAGAAGTGGCAAAAACCTATAAAGCTAAAGCTGACAAGTGCCACAGCCCCCAAGAGCCGTTCTGGGTTGGAAGCAAAGTTTACCTCTTGACAAAATACCTAAAATTAAAACTCCCATGCAATGGACCAATGTTTCAGGGTTCCAGATAACATCCAAAATTAAATCAGAGTCCAAGGCATTTCCCTTTAGTGAACGTAGTTAACCCTGTTACATACAGCTTATCTTCCCTTGCCTGCTAGGGAAAGTGCATCTGGTCTTTCACAGCAGTTTGTTAAAGCCGGCAGTAGGCTCTCTGAATCAGAATGGTAGATCGGGCAGCCCCAAAATCAATAGTGGTGCAGGTGGAGACACATTCTATGATAAAGAAGATTCTCAATTCAAAATTGCATAGGGGTAGGTTGCAGTAGTTTGAGCAGTGGAAGGGGTACCTCCTATCTGAGGCCACATGGGTCAAGAGCTGGGATGTGACGGCAGATAGGTTGGTCAAACATTTTCATGATGAGTTTCCCCAGAAACTTAAGGGACCTCTGGGGGGAGGCAGGGGGAGAGTTGATATGAGCCTTTACTAACTTCTTCCTGTATGCTTTTGTCTTTCAGGAAGTCCTCTTTGACTGAGGGACAGCCTGTTAATCCTGAAGCTGACCTGACCAAAGCCATCTTGGAGCTTCAGTGTTGCCACACTGGAGCTGAGCGATAGGGAGGGGGGGGATTAGAGATAGCTGGGGTTTTGTAGCCAAAATAAAATACTTTCTCTTAGGAACCAAGGCTATTCTCACACCTGGCCCGAGGAAGGAGCAGTCAGGTCACCAGGCAACCAGACAGTTTCTTGATTGGACCACGTGACTGATTGTTTGGGGTTAAGGGAAAACTTTTACTTTTAATTAGGTGAAAACCATGGGAACCGTCAGAGTCAGTTTTCACCAGATCTGTGCCAATATGATATATCCAATAAAGCTTTTCTTTGAGGAATCCATCTGCCTCAGAATTTTGCTTGCTATGCGTCTATTACTTGGAACCCTGACAGCAAAGCCTGATGATGTGGCCTTCTTGTGCCACAGCCTGTTCCACCCTGGTAATTATCATTAGAAGGTAAAATGTATGGTCCATATTATATTTATAACTTATCTCTTGTTTAAAATTTACAAATTAGAATAATAAGTTGGTGTATGTATGAAAATAAAATATTTTGCGTTTTTGTAACTTCTTTCCTATTTAAAAATAATATGTAAGATATATCCCAGTACTCAATATTTTCTTCATCACGAAACCCCTTTAAATATCTTTTTTGTAAAGTTTTTTATTTTTCATTTTCATAACAAATAATCAAATGTATACTATTACATAGCCAACATCGTATTGTA